GCCCTATCATCCTGTGAGGCAGAGTTCATGGAAGCCACTGCGGCATCATGTCAAGCATTGTGGCTGAGAAGTTTGTTGAGCGAGGTGACTGGAAACGAGCCAAAACCAGTAACTCTCTACGTCGACAACAAATCTGTAATAACATTGATAAAGAACCCGGTGTTTCATGGACGCAGCAAGCACATCGACACTCGCTTCGTAAGCACCGGAGAGCAACGTGCGGATATTCTTACCAAGGCTCTAGCAAGAGTTAAATTTGCGAAAATGCGAGAGCTACTTGGCGTAAACAAATTCGAACCAAATCAAGCTTACGGGGGAGATTGTGAGACTAATCTTAAATTGGAAATTTGAATTGATTACACAATTAGTGGCTTCATAATAGGTATGAGATGATTAGTGGAACAAATATAGAAGATATGATAATAGCATTAATTTTGAATTAAATATAGGAGATATGACAATATCATTAAATTCAAATTCAAAATTCAAATATGTGTAATCAATTCAAATAAGCGTGAATTGATGACACTTAATTCTCTTGCCTTTATTATGTATGTTTCATGTTTTGTTTCGGTATGTCTTAGTTAGTATAAAATTGGGTGTTGTGTTGCATTGTAAAAACACACAGTCTTGTATCTTTTCACTCCTTCAAAAATAATAAAAGAGAATTCCCAAAAGTCCAATCTTATTTTTCAATTTGTCCTTTAGCGATCCATTAAATTGGAACCAACATTATTGTTATGAAAATCCTACCTGGATCAATCTTGAAAACCTGTTTGACGCCAAACATCATTGCGTACCATTCGCAGATCTCTACCCTTTAGAGTCCTCCCAACCCCTCCCAACATAGAAAAGCTAATCATCGGCGATTTTATGGAAGAAACCCTAGGCACAATCTCATGTGGCGGCATGATATCCTCTTTGAAAACATCAGCGTGCCCCCTTACATCCCAATCAAGCACCGCCAGTTCCTTACTTGTCATAAGAGGCATCACTAGAATGTCCATCGGTGCAGACTGGTGATACATATTTCCTCCCATCATTGAAAGAACACAGTCAAGCTTCGGCTTTGAGATCGCCAAAATCTCCCGAGCAAAGGAGTAGGAGGAACAGACCGAGAAATACGAGGACAGATTTCGATGGAGAAGCGGATAACTGTTAACTTCTTCGGGAAGAGCTGCCAAAATGCCGAGGTTCCGTTTATTGAATCGGCAAGAGCCAAACTGAGAGAGCGAGAGTCGGGGGCTAGGGTTTTGTTTGGGGGTTGCGAATGAAGATAGGGGATTAAGGGATCGGTGCGAATGGGGGGTGGTGATGTTTGGGGCGTGAATGAATCCATTAACGTTCTGTGTCACGGCTGCTGTGGTAGAATTGGGGGAGCAAGTTTGTGCTCTCCGCGACATTCGCATGGAGACAGCTGTAATTTGGTATAAAAGGAAATGAGTAAGTGCAGTGGGTTTATCTTATGCTTTATTCCGTCCTGCTTTGTATAGTTGTACAGGAGAACTTGCTAAAAAATTGTACTGCATGCACGGCTGGAATAATTGATTGTTTTTATTCTTAACAAATTTACATATTTATCACACAAATCTTTTATATATAAGTATCTAAGTTCTAAATTTTAATATTTATATTTATAATACATTATTTTATTTTTTAAAAATTAATGAATATTATCTTTCTAATATAATCTTAAAAATTTTAATGTTATGAATATAAATATGCAAATTTAAATATTATATATGTGAATATATAATAAAAGTGTGGGATTTATGTAAATATCTCTATTTTTTTAAAATAATTGGATCATTGTTAGAAAATTTGCGACGGTTGAGTGATAATTTAAAATTATAACATTGCACTAAAACCTAGCACACACAAAAAATAGAAAAATTGTAGGAGAAAGCAGTAGGTTTTTTATGGAAAAAACTTAGAAAATAAAAAAATAATCATGAAGGCATTACTATAAATTTACAGTAGTCGTGTTGTTATAATTGTCGCAATTAGGCTACAACAAAAGTAGTTGATCATGAAGCCTATAATTGAAACTTGTAATAATAGTAGTTAACCACAAATGTCGTAATTAGTAGCTGCAATAATGTCAATTAGTCATGGATGTCATAGTTAAAATACATAATATTATGTCACATAGGTCATGGTTGGGGGCTATAACGACGTCAGTTGGCCACAATTGATGTAATTGGAAATTGTAGTAGCAGCTAGCCACATAAACCATAGTTAAGGGCTACAATAGTGTCAGTTGGTTACCGAGACCGTAATTTAATGTAATTATAGTTAGTCACATAAGCCGTAGTTAGGGGCTAAAATAATGTCAATTGGTCACAAAGACTGTAGTTGGATGTTGTGGCAACAATTTGTCATATTGGTCATCGTTATGGGCTATAATAATATCAGTTGATCATAAAAGCAATAATTGAAAGTTGTAGCAATAGTTGGTCATACATTGCTGCTAGATTTTAACTTATTAAAACCTCTATTTGAAGAACTTTATTATTGGTTTAGTTCTGCTAAAATTTTTAAAAGTCTTAGAAAAAAATTCTTGTATCGTAAGTTTTCAGATAGAAAATTGCATACCATTGCCAGGAGTATTTCTACTATGCCTAAGAATCGTCGGGTTTGGTTTACCCATCTTGATATTATAAATATGATGTGCAAAGTTAAAATTATATGGAGGTATTATAATTATACTAAAATTTGTGATGTTATTTCTAATGGAAGTTGGAATTTGATTCATGTTATTAGTATCCCTGGGTACTTTTCTCAGCTTATTAATAGCATATCGATTGTAGATTCTCATATATCTTGACTTTGGTTTTGTTTAGATGACTATGTTCATAAAAGATTTGATCTTTTTGATTATGACAATTTTTGTAAAGTTGAATGGAATAATTATATCTGGTTGAAATGCCATTCAAGTTAATTTACATTTACCATCTGGAAATTATTCATTAACTTAAAACAAGTGATATTCCTATTGTTGAAGGTATTTCTGCTAATTATAATTGTCATGCTCTATGTTTAGAGAAACTCGTAAGCATTAATTTTTTGATTATGCACAAAAATCGATGCATTTTGTATGAAGGTTATTCCTAACTCAAATTTAAGATCATTCAAGCTTGATTTCAACAAGCTTAAAGTCAAACTAGACGTCTCAACAATATCAACACAATAATATCAAAATTTAGTCAATTTGAGTCTAATCAAGCTCAGATCAAGCTATTAAAACATATTGGACGCTTTGGATCATCAATTAAATGGTCGAAGAAACTCCAAATTTGACATATTTATTAGCAAATCGAGTGCATTGACCCAAAAAAATTAAAAAGAATCTAAGATTGTAAAATTATTAGGTCATTAATGCACTCAAATAACTAAAAAACTATCTATAATCAAGTGAGATCGGCGGAGACAACTTGAACAAGTGGTTAGGTAAGCTATGTGTCAAAAAAACAAAATTCCCCTGCCTAAAAGGCTATAAATAAACCCCCTCTATTCACTTGAGAAAATGAGAAGATGAATAAATGAGATTCTAGAGTCTATTCTAGAGAAGACCCGATGAGGCCACATTAGTCGCGACCACCGATTCTCAACGCCCGTGCATGACCACTATCAACCAGTGCAGATTATCACTAACTGTCGTCGCTGACAACCAGGCACCACCGACACTTGCTTGCAACTTTTTAGTCAAAATACACTTGTTTTGTGTAACAACTATATTTTATGTGTAGTAAATAAATGTAATTTTTGTGATAAAATTATCACTTAAATTATCACCCCGATCTTCTTGTTGCAAGAGAAGGGAGCACCCATGCACTCATAGTGAATAAGTTTGATCAGGCTGAACCACATGGTTGCTGAACCACATGGTTTTTTCTCTTCTATAATTTTTCTACATAAAAATTCTAGTATCTTTGGTATTTTTCCTTCTCTTTTATTTATGTGTGTTGTATCACCGCACAATGCTAAGACATTAAAATATCACTCCATCGCCGCGAATTTTATTTTTGTGTTGTATCTTATCTTATTCATGTGTGTTGCACTGTGTACAATGCTAAAACATTAAAATAATACTAATTCGCCGTGAATTTCCCGACACTCAACAAAAGCATATTTTGAAAATTGATGAAATTGATCAAACTCTTCGTTCAGTTGCTTAGAAATACAAAATATGTTTTAAAAAAATGATGATTATATTTTTTATTATTTTGGAGTATGTAAATGAAATCATGATTTATGTTGGGGAAATTTACATGCATATCACACCATTCCTATCAATTTACATATCCACATCTAAAATTTGATATTTAGAAACATCACACTTTGGTTAATAATGAATGCATGAAAATTTATATTTTAAAAAATTAGTAATAGTAGTACTGTTTGATATTATCTTAAAAAAATTGAGTGTTGCCCATATAAATACATAAGTTAGGTGTCAAACATGAACAAGCGAAAGAATCGTGCGGCATTGATGCAAATGTCTCTAATTATTTTTACAATAATAAAAGAAATTTCGTGAGAATTTGAAAAAAATATTAGTGTCCAAATTTTTTCAACCAACAGCTAGATTTAAAAAACTATATCACTTATAAATTCATGATTTTTAACTTTGAAGCTAATACAATTACATTTTAAATTTAAGAACTAATGAAATTTGAATATAAACAAAAAAAACTACAATATGTTCCAACAGAGAAAAAAAATACTAATAGGTAACTTCTATGCATAATGAATGCACATATATGCTAAATCATTCAGGGCTTGATCTCCAGTCTAGGCTCAAAGCAGAAACCAACGAAGGTTCTTAAATATGATCGTTTTTTTATTGGGTAGTTTTTTGCCGATCTCCAATGCTTGTCTCTCATATCAAATATGAACAGAGTAGGGGTATCATAGGCATGGATGAAGATGAGATCCTCAACTCCACTACTAGCAAAAGTATCTTCAGACCTGCCAAAATGGCTGAGAAACTTCTGTGGCATCCTTGTAACCTCCTTCCATTCATTTCTATGAAGCTCCCAAACACAAATTCCTTCCAACACATCTGGCTTTTCTGGGTCTCTGATTCCCCCAATTAGAACCAATCGATCTTTAAGATTCATCAGGCGACAGCAAGCGAGGGGACTTGGTGCCATAACCATTGTCCATCAATGACTTGCATGAAGATTTTGAATCAAGATCATACATGATGAGCCCAATACGATGTGCGTTGCTCTCCGATAAAGAGTGAATCAGAAAGTAAAGGATTTCATTGCATATCACACTTTCATTACCTCCTCTCCATCCAACCAAAACATCATTGAGTGATACAACTCTCCAAAAGCAACACTTTGAATCATAAATCTGAATGGTAAAGTCCCAATGAAAGAACTCATCTGGCAATGGATTGGATTTCACCAATGTAACTATATAATCATGAAAATGTCTGTCCACTGACAAAGCCAATGCACCGTATTGTGAAGGTTCTTCATTTAGAGGTTTCGGAAGCTGCTTCCAATCTCTTGAAATTGGGTTGCAAAGAAAAATTCTGTTTTGATTATAGTAATCCATGCAGGAAACCAATCCGCATGATGACGAGATAAACCAGTTATAATTTTCATGTGAGAGGAAATCAAACCTGCACCAGTTCTTGAAGAGATCATAAATGTAGCCTGCATCGTTCTCGTTGGGCAACATGAAGTACCATGGCTTTTGGGGTGGCATGTTGATCCATACATACTTTCCGGACTTTGTCATCTCATGCCAATACTTGCACACACATCCTGCACTCATTATACTGTCTATTGGCAGAAAGGAGAAAATCTTTAGCCATACATCGTCAGGAAGAATGGTATATATGTCTTCACTTTTGACTTTGTTTTCTTTCACAAAAGCTTCGACACCAGGTTCTTCAATTCTAACACAGTCCATGCTCTGCTATTATAATCCTATTAAGAGCGACACAAGTGAAATAAACATGAGTGTTTTGGTATAAGACAAACTCAACCATCCACAAAAAAATGAGATGAAAATTCATATTAAAAAAATGTTGTCATGGACCCAAAATTTATTTCCAAAACTATCACATGTGTTATTTTCTTAAACTATTAAACTCGTATATTAATGTGTTCTGGTAAAAAACATTAAAATTTTGATAGAAATAACATGTCTTTATCATAAATTTTGATGTTTGAATGAGAATTTGGTATTAGAATGAAATATGGTGGTAATTTTGTAAAGAGCAATGTTTCAAGTGTTGTATGTGTAGTTGCCCCACATCCATATCCACTATATTAATATTGAGAGCTCGATTTAATTATATCCTAATTAAAGCATTTGAATATAACCGCCTCATTTCCATTTATGAATAAAAGAAAACACAACTAAATACACATTTATATTAAAACAAATAAATTCACAGTTGGTAAAACAAAAAAACACTTGATAAAAAAAAGACTTTATATATTATTATTATATTAGATGTTATTATTAATATTATATCGTTTACGTGACTCAGGTGGTATGCATGTAAATCCTCATTTTTTTCCTGTTTAAAGGGGTTGGGTGGTATGTATTTATATCTCTCTACATCTCTCTGTTTCGCGTGTACATTCGCAATGAATAAAAAAATACGTGGAAAATACGGGGAGGAGCTAACATGAACGGAGGTTCGCCGGAGGCAGGCTTGCCAGCGGGACTGGACTCGACGTAGGGAGAAGCAAAGGAGGAAGGAGGAGGGCTGGGTTGAAGTGGAGGAGGAGTTGCCGTGAGGTGTGCTCTGTTTGGGGGGGGTGGGGTTGAGATGCTTTTATAAGGGAAGGAGATGGAGACGTGAGTTCGTGACTGAAAATGAAAAGAGAAAATATCGGAGAGAGGGAGGCGGAAGCGTGGGTAGAGAATAGGTGCATGTAATGGAGAGAGAGAGAGAGAGAGAGGAGTCATCCCATCTGCTGCGTGCGCGTGAGATGATAAAAGGGTAGAATAGGATTTTTTTATTTTTATTATATATATATATATTTATTAAGCTGCATGTCGCATAGGTAAATAGAATACCGCATGCATTTTTTCTCACTTTTGGCCTTGCCAGGTTCTTCAATTCTGACACAGTGCATGTTGTGCCATTTTGGTCGATTTGCAGCTTCCATAGGCATAAATCGATATCATAATCCTTGTAAGAGCGACACAAGGGTTTTAGGGTTTATCATAAATTTTGATGTTTTATGTGTCCTGATAGAATCATTAAATTTTGATAGAAATAACACGTCTTTTATCATAAATTTTGATGTTTGGACAAGAATTTGATAAAAGAATGAAATATGGTGGTAATTTTGTAAAGAGCAGCGTTTCAATTTATTTTCCTCTTTTTAATCACTTTTTTTCTCCTTCTACTGCATGATGATGATGGCGACTAATCAACAAGATTAGTTTGTGCATCCTTTCATTGAATACTAATTGTTTGCTTAATATTCAACACATAATTATGAAAAAAGTTATTCTTCGAGATAAAGATGATACATTCGTATTCCGCATCATGAAAAAATCATTCAAATGCAAAATAATTTAAATTTAAATAAAGCCTTTTCATATATTATTTTATTGAATTAAAAAAAAAAGTTTTACTTTAATTCAATGATATATATGAGAATGTAACATGAAACTCATAAAATGATTATTCCATATTAAATCTAATGAATTTAATTATCCTCAAGTTGGTATAAGAATTTAAGTATTCATATAGAATAATAAACTTTTAACTCAATATGAAATAGCGACAACATTAAAGACGAATCTTAACGTAAATTGAGTCAAATATAAAAAATTAAATCTAATATTCCATTAAATCAATTTTTTTCATATTCTGTCTTTTCTAATCACATTTCGTTTGTTTTACGACATAAATCACGAGTTATTAAATTCAATTGTGAGACGGATTTAAAATTTTCTTTCGCAGCCAATGGCAAGCTTGTTTCCGTTGCTTAAAATATTAAATTTGTTGAATTTGATAATTTTTTTTTTAAACACAAATTCAGTTTGCAGCAGCCAAAATAAAACAAAGAACAACTTCCATACATACTGCATATTATTAATTCAACTGAACAAAGAACAGCAATGCGCTTACCCGCACTTTGTTTTCTTCTCCGGCCGAAGGTTTTTCAATTTCGCTTGCTAAGGCTGTATGAGACCAAAATGAAACAGGAATGAAAGATTATTATTGTTATTATTATTATTTTAGTGTCCAAAATCGAAATATATGTAGAGAGGGAGAGGAAAATCATGAGGGAGGGCGTGAAGGTAGGTGTTGTCGTGGAGGAGAAAGTGAGGGCTTTTGTATTATGACACGTTGTTGGTTTTACGTAAACATCGGGAGAGCGCATTTGCAAAAGTGAAAAATGGGATAGCGCAAGTGATGTGAGGCGGAGAGGAGTAGGACGTGGGACAGAAAGAAGAACGGCCTCCGCAATTTTTTTTTTTTTTTT